CGTCCAAACTCACATTTCTCTAGGTTGACCTTATACTTGTGTTGTCGCAGGAGTGAGAGTACAGTCTCAACGTGTTGTGCATGCTCCTCGACAGACTTACTAAAGATAAGAATATCGTCAAGATAGACGACGACAAACTTATCTAAGTGGTCATGGAAGATCCTATTCATGGCGTGCTGGAATGTACCCGGCGCATTGCAAAGACCAAAGGGCATCAGTACAAACTCATACAGACCGTATCTAGTCTGAAAAGCAGTCTTGTGTTGATCCTCAGGTCTTATTGCAATCTGATGGTAGCCGGACTTTAAGTCTATCTTGCTATAGTACTTACATCCCTGCACCCTATCCAATAGGTCGTCTATGCGAGGTAGAGGCTCTGCGTTTTTCACTGTGATGGCATTGAGGCCTCTATAATCAATGCACATCCTCAATGTACCCCCCTTCTTCGGCACAAATAGCACTGGAGATCCGTAGGGGGAAGTACTCGGCCGGATCCATCCCTTCTCTGTCAGCTCTTTCAATTGTCGCCGAAGTTCATCCAACTCGGTCGGAGCCATCCTATAGATCCTTCCCTTTGGGGTTTTACTCCCTGGAATGATTTCTATGGCGTGGACAACTTCCCTATCAACGACTCTTGTGGGCTCCGTGAACAGATCTAGGAACTTAGCAACGACGTGTTCTATCTCTGGGGGTGTTTTAACGGCCGCCCCTTTTTCAGAGATATACACTAGGTACATACCTCCTCTTGATTCTGTTTATAATAGTTGTAGAATGCTGATGCACACAAGCAACCATAGGTATCGATTATACTACTGGCTTTGAACTTAGTCAGTCTAACTGTTCTCCCATCCGACAACTTATGCTTTAGCACTTTCTTGTCCCAGTCAAACTGGGGCTTGGCAACCTCAAGGTAGTACATCCCCCCCAACAACATATCGAATGGTAAGTCGTCGCTAATTAGGAACGAAATCTTATGATTAAGTTCACCTCCTCCATAGGAGAAGGTACAGACTACATCCTTGACATAGTCTGTGACAATCATGCGCTCCTTATTGGCCAAAGTAGATGCTACATGTCTACTAAGGTGTTGTACCCGGTCCTGTAGGTGCAGTCTTTCCAAGCAGTCGCGACTTATGTAGTTCCGTGTGGAGCCGATGTCTATGAAGGCACCACATTTGCGGCCTCCTACATCAACTTCTACAACGAAATGTTCCCCTCTAGGACCTTTCCTTAGTGCCACCCAAGACTCGCGAGGGTCCTTACTTGACCACTCACTTTCCAAATCTTCTAAGGCTTCAGACACATCCAACGTACAGAGCATGGTTTGGTCTGGATGAGTCTGCAAGGTGACTAAAGAGTCATTAGCTATGGCCTGCTCATGAAGTGGGGAGGGTATCTGGCCCACTTCACCATGAGTAGAAGCAACTAAAACTTCCACCGGCCTCACATGTTTCCCGAGCTAGATGCCTGGGAAGAAGGTACCCCTACCTTAGGCGGTATCTTCTGCGTGACCTTGGCGTTCTTGCACTTGTACTGGGTGTGACCATACTCACCACAGTTGATGCAAGCACCACGCACTCTTCGGTCCCGCCACACATCTTGATCAAGACCTGCCTTGACCCAATCAGCAACTTTGGTCTGATTGGAGGCGGCCTGCCCTTGACTCTTTTGATGGCCCTTCCCTCGGCCACCTGCCTTAGCCTTTACAACTGCGGCGAGGGTGCTACCCTCAGCGATCTCCTCGCCGTCATACTCTGAATTGTCCAACAGGTCTGTGAGTTCCTCGATCTCAGTTTGAGTTCCATCGGACTCAACCATCATCACTTTACTCCCCTTCTTCTTCCATTCCTGTGGACTCTTCTTCTTCGTCCCATCTGCTGGAGTGGTAGGTTGAGCACTTCCTAGAGTAGCCTCTAAATCTAGGGCCTTTCTAGAGAAGGACGCAAAAGTGTGATACTCGAGGCGTGCCTCGCTGGCCAACTGTGTTCTGAGATTCTCTGGGAGACATCTCACGAACATGGTCAATAAGACCTGGTCATCATAGCAAATGCCTGGGACTACGATGAGATTCTCCACGGTAGTCGTAAGCTCCCTAACGGACTTGTACCATCGCTGGTCTAGTCTTATTATGGTGTCAGTGGCAATCTGTGCCTGCTGCGGATTATGCCAGCGAGCTTCTACCATGTCTATGAATTCATCTAACGTCATGGTCTTAGCCCAATCTGCCATGCGTCTTCCAAACCCAGCTTTCGCTATAATCCCGTCTAGCCATTTGGTTGCCTTACCCTCAAGGTAAGATGCAGCAGTAATCACTTCCTCCTCTTGCAAAGTCCTCTTTGCCCTTACCCACATTGGAACCGTTCTCAACCATGTGTTGAGCTCCTCGTCCTTCTTCTCACCAAAGAAGGTGACAGGTGGTTTCATTGGGGTCTTTGGGTACCATGGGCCTTGCTGCTGTCCCTGTGGTGGAACAGATTGCTGTTGCGGTGGTGGAGTAGCTGCCACCGCAGGACCGGAAGAAGTAGAAGCAACAGTCTGAGACGTTGCTGCTGATGAACCGCTTGGTTGTGTGCCAGCATGGGGGTAGGTGCCTATCATTGCCGACATAGGGAGCGACGATCTTGCAACTGTTGGCAGCCTTGGTCCTAGCTGCTGCAACTGAGCCAATATCTGATCCAGAGTGTCCTGCATGAAGTCCATCCTCCTGTCTACATGTGCATGCAACGACAACAAGCTAGACCTCAACACTCTTACATCGTCGTTCATTGTTGACTCATCCATTGCCTCTAGTGCAGTTTTGTCGGCCTCTACCGTTTCCAATCTGATTGTCCTATCTCTAATCTCATTTTCTCTATTAGCAGCTTCCTTTAGTTCCCTCTCTAGCCTAGTGCGAATCCTTTCAACTTGCTGGAGTTCCCTCAACTCCCGCTGCCGTGGGGTCATTGGGCTTAACTGCGAGCCCGCCATTTGACTGGTGGAGTGACTAGAACCTGCGACACTGGAACTACCCGCGGACCCAGTGGGCATGCCCAACTGAGTGGCAGACGAGGTGGCACCATTGGTTGCTGCCGCGGAAGCCATTGCTGCTGCCGCAGCTTGCCTTGCTGCTGCGTTAGCTACTGCTAACTCTTGTGCAACATCTGCTGCTGTCCTCACGCTCGCTGCTCGAGCACGGGCTATAGCTTCGGCCCTAAGTCGTCTCTCTGTCTCGGTGTCGAGGTGCTGAAACACGTACGGGATCCTACTTGATCTCGATCGTGTTACTCTACCATCGTCACCCTCAACGCTGTCTGATTCACTCATGAGTTATGCATACACTATCTGCGCTAGAACTTTCTAGTGAAGTCCTACCACAGCATATGTTTGACCGACACTTAATTTTCTAAAAATAGTTTGTGTCCGGCAGGAAACCAAATGCTACCATTTCAAGCGGTCGTCAACAAACATTATCACCGATTGTACACATAATCTAATCCTACCATTGATTAGTTCACTTACATCAGCTTGAGATAGAGCCAGCTATGGTAGTATACAATGGTCCTACTCTAAGCTGTCTATGAGGTGTTAGCAGTCTGTCCACCAACTAATCAAAAATAAAATTAAATCATGTTGCAGATGTATGCATGGTGGAAATGGTTGTGTTAACAGTTGAGCACCAATTAGAACCTACCCTCCCCTCAATCCAACATACCGAAGAGCATCTTTGAGCAGCAGTGTCTTCGTGTGTAATGTCGGCCCACCCCTGTGCCCCAAGTCATTGCCGAGCAAGCCAGCCAGTCCACTCTTATTTACCCTCGTACGGAACGAGCCTTCTTACCCGGGTTGATCTGGCTGATCAAGAGGAATTTAAGGAGAGCCCCCATCTCCGCAGGAATTATTTAACGTCGCAGACAAGACGACGATCACAGCCAGTATCAACACCGAGTCCCCAACCTGAAATGTTTATAGACGGTCTAGTAAGCGTCTCATAAAAGGCTGGCACACCCGGCACGACTTCTATAGCGCAGCAAAGTGCCAAAATGGACAAGCAGCCATCGCATGCGTGACCTACTCCCATTGGGTTGGCATGGTGACCGTGACCCAGTGCTTCGACCAGGGCCCTTCAGAGGCACCGCCCTTTCTCCTTCCAGATGCTTCCGGGAAGATTGTCGTCTCTCA